CAAACTTTTTTTTCGATATAAATTATATTTTCTCAAAAAATAGCTCAAACTCATAATACACATCACAAAATAAAATATTTTACTCAACATATTCAAAATACACTCAGATTATATAAGCTTATGTGTAATGTGCTGATTGCATTTTAATCACACCTCAAAACTAACTCAACAAGCCTCAATCTTTTATCACATATTTGGACATATATATATAGATATTATTCATATATATTATAAGCTCATAACACATCACCCTCATAAGATATAATAAAAATTGAATGCTTTTGATGTGCTCCACATACGGAATTTTTTGATAGTTAATATTGAGCCTATCTGAATATACCACACAATATTACTAATAGTTATATATTTATCTATTATGCAAAATTAAGAATAGAGCTGATAACAATAGAATTTGTAGCATCAAGGTTTGCTCGGAAAAACGTCACTTTTTTCATCTTTGATGTGCTAATATCTCAATGAATACTCAATAACACTCATTCTAATACACATAACATGCATCTATATAATATAACAAATAACACACATATACATTTATCAAAATTAACGAAACTTTTTTTGATGCGAATATCTTGGAGATTCCGAAAAATCTTGGACATTTTACATCAAACATATACAGAACAAATATACTCTTAAAATAAATTATATTCACATTGTCAAATCAAATCTGACACATTTTTTTAAGATATCAAAATTCTTTTTTATAAAAAACACATGCAACACACTAAAATCACTTATATATCTACTAAACATATATTATACATACATATACACACTCAAAACACACTCAACATTACTCACAAACATAGATATATTTTGTATCATATACCTAACTATTAAACTAAGTGTGTCTAACTACATCAACATAATATATATTATCTATAGATGATATACACATCAACAAAACATAGTGTTACCGTTCATAGCAAATTTAATGCAAGCTCAAATATAGGGTAAATATTAATATATTGATTTGATTACATGAATGAACTACACTATGGGTGGCCTATCTGGTGGTATCACTCATTGGTGCTGATAACTTTTATAGATGTCTGTGACCAAACTTTCCTCTCAATTTGTCGGCTACTTTGGTTTCATCCCCTTTCTGGCGAACGTTGTTTCGCATTGCGAGTGTCTGCTGCGAATCCGGGGCTGAGCAGCAGGCACTCGCAATTATATGTCGCGGTAAGTGCATTCTGGCACCGCAGGTGCACTTGCCGCGACATTTGCGAAATGCAAAGATGATGCCGGAAGGAGCGGCAATACTGGCAAAAGCCACTCCTTCCGGCACCAGAAAGACTAGAAGGGGGCCCTGACCTTGAGAACGGACCCCCTTCCCGGTCTTTCTGGCGAACTTTGCTTCGCATTGCGAGTGTCTGCTGCGAATCCGGGGCTGAGCAGCAGACACTCGCAATTGTAGGTCGCGGCAAGTGCACCTGCGGTGCCAGAATGCACTTGCTGCGACAATTGCGAAATGCAAAGATGATGCCGGAAGGAGCGGCAATACTGGCAAAAAGTTAGTATACATATCATGGGTACGGAGGCACTGCGCGCCTCCTTACCCATTATATGTGAATTTGACACTTTACAAAACTGTTAACGTATATTTTACAACACAAACGACAACACTAACTTAACCTTAAATATTTACAAAGCTGCCAACCACTTCACCTCACTAATGTAAAAAATAAACGTTTTCACTTACAAAAGTATTGCAACTCCTCCCATTGCTGTGCTTCACATAACAGCTCATAATCTTCTGACTCACTTTCTTCTTCATATAGGTCAAAATCACTGTCATAGTTTATACCTGTAAGTTTTGACAAAGCTAATGAAACACGCTTACCGTTTGTATCATATGCTTGTATAAACTTTCCATTATGCTTGTAGTCATAAACGCTCAAACTAACTTTACCTTTTCTCCCTCGTATCTGATAGAATGTATTTTCACGAGGAACGAAGAACAAATTCTTGAACTCATAACCGTTGTAGTTTGTTATCTCAATAGTTTTCGTCATTTATATAAAAATAAAATAAAAAATAAGTTTAAAAAATAAACTTTAAAATTAAATGAAAAATCAGTCATTACAACAGTCAGTCAGTCAGTCATTGACTGTTCTAAAATTACTGACAAAAATAATTTTAAAGTTTACTCCTCTTCATTGACTTTTTCCAACTCTTCTAGCTTCTTCTTAAGTTCAGCAATGTTGTCTTCATGTAATTTAATCTTTCTCAAAATTCCTTCTTTATCTAATGGTTGCTTTATCTTTCTAAACTGAACTCTACCATCCTTCATAGTATGAACGTAAAAACCTTCTGGAACAGTTCCTGATTTAATGTATTCTACCAAGAACTTTTGTTTCATTGCTTCAGTGACTTTAGTCGTCATTTTACTCTAAATAAAATGTTCAAATAAAATAAAACTAACGTTATTTTTTCAGTAAGGAAACGCAGGAGTTTTACGATTGATTTGAGGCGTGGGTTCTGGTTTAAATGTTGGAGTCGGTTTTGGAGTTGACTTTTGAACAGGAGTTTGTACTTCCATAGGTTCAGGAGTCATTGAAGGTGTTGTTTGTGAAGGTGTTGGTTTTGACGTTGGTTTTGGCGAAGGTGTCGGAGTTTGTTTAACTTCAGCTACTTCAGTATTATTTACAACATTTGCTTTGTTTCTTTTCAACATCATTACTGCTCCTACTGTAGCTAGCAAACCTAGTGGAAGACCATATCTTATATAAGGACTTGACCAAATGCTATTTTTGACAGGAGCTGGTGGAACACCTAACCTTGGTGAGACTGCTCTTTGCCATTGTGCAGCTCGTAAGAAATATTCAATAGGTGCTCCATAATCGTTTGGTAAAGTTTGTTTCATAGATGGTGAAGGTTCACGAGAGCTTGATGAAGAACTCATTTATAAGCTTTAAAAATAAACGTTCATCCTTTATTCCTCACTGTCGTCCGTAGCTAAGTTATAGTCATCTAATCTTATTATGGGGATGCCATTAGCACGCACCTGAATGGCAAAGCAACAATCCCTCATAAATCCAATAAGTGGCTTTGGTACATTTTCAGTTGCTAGTTCAATGGGTCCTTTAACAGACAATTTGTATGTTATTGGAGCAGTAGATGTTTGACCTTGCTGGAAGCAAAAGTCCACTTCTGTTGGAAAACCACATAAGAAATGTGTGTTGTCATAGCTATCCCATTTATGTTCCACACTACCATCATCCACCAATGACCTCATAACATCTTCATTAAATCCTATCATATCATTGTTTGTATTGCAAGCGTTCGCAACCATTTCATAAAATACAGGTCCATATGATTTTTCGGGTTCTGCAGGCATATTTCCATAAGCTCCCATGGAAAGCTGAAGATATTTAAACTTAGGGTTCTAAATAGTGCCCAAATACTTTTAACATTAATAGGCGTATAAGCTGCTGTAAATGTTGCACTTGAACTATCTGTATTCTTTGAGAATGAACCGTCCATAGGAATCCAATCCATAACTTTAACAGGAAAACATAAAGCCTCGTTTGTATAATGTTCTACAAGTTCTGTATAAATGTTAGGGTCTAAAGAGAATGACTTTGGATGAATGAAACATTCATTAAAATCCATCTTTGTTCGAAATAGTTGCTGGGTTCCAGTTGTAATAGTAACTGTTCCACTAGCTTCTACTGCCTTCGTTATCATAGTGAATGGTTCATTCCATGGAACAAATTTATTTGTCGGTGGATTTGAATCTGAAGCAAATGCAACTTTAAGAGTTGGATTGAAAGCAATGATATCATTTACAGATATAGATGTGCATTGTAAGGCGTCGCTACTGAACTTTACTTTAAGCTGAATGTTTCCTGCAAAAGCTGGAATAAATCGAATAGCTTCTAATGGAAGGAATCTTCTAACTGGAATTCTTAAACGAAGCTTAAAATCAAATGATTTTCCTGCTGTAATTGGACCACTAACAATTTGTCCTGTTCTGCATGTTCCCGAATGACTCCATACATCTTCATGTCGAGTCTTTGAGAAAACATCTACTTTCTTTATTTGTTCGGTAGTTTGTGAGTTTGAAGTTATATATGCTTCTTCTCTTGCGTTGTCTTGAGAATATACGATACGACCATTTGCAAGGATTTGATATCCAGCAACTGCATAGAAAGCGTCATCGAAACCAATCCAAAATCCTGGTGGGTTTGTTTTATTGGAACCTGAACCAATTTCTTTATCTACAATAAATTGACCTTCCATTTTATACGTAATGAATGTATTGTAAAGGTCCAACATATTTTCACCAGGAGGTGAGAGATTGAATGTTACCCATGTGTTATCTTTAGCAGTTCCAGGTTTGATGGAATCTTTGCGTCAGAATATTTTCTATTAGTGTCACCAATTTGAACTGCATTGTCTATGATATCGAAATATGAGCGAATCTGATGAATATGCTCTGCTGGAGTAAATTCGTTTAGCTGTTCGTTCTGCATGTCTTTCCTTCGGATAAAAATATCTCTTTACTTCATTATTCTCACTCTTCTTCTTGGCATTCGTGGTGGAAGTTGTTTCTTAATATTTTCAATGAACTGTACATTCTCTTTTGTCTCCACTTCTTTCACTGGTGGGTCAGGGTTCTTTGACTCTGTTTGCTTTTCAATGAAATTCACAAACTTTGCAATAAGCTCTTGGTTCGTTATTGATAGAACATCTGGCTTCTTTTCTTCTGGTTCTTTCGGAGGTTCAGTTTGTACAGAAGGTTTTATATGGGCTTCGCCCTCGGTGCCATGCACCTTAATGTTGTCGCTCTCTGCATTTGCTAATGGTACCTTTCTTTTTCTTACGTATATTTTACCAACTTTACTCTGACTTACGTAATAGAAAGGATGTTGTATTCCTCTTGCATCATTTAATATAATAGACTCTCGCTCTGACTTTGACAAGCTCATTTTCCATCGGTTAAAGTTTTAAGTTAGATTTTTATCCGCAGTCAAATGACTCATACAATAGATATTGAAGCATTGAAGAAAGAAATTCGTGAACAAATTTTATCCGAACTGAAGGAACAAAAACCAGAACAAAAGCCAGAGAGACCAAAGAGAAAACTTAGTGAAAAACAACTTGCTGCATTAGCTGCTGGATGTTTAAAGAACCCCCGAATGCAATCCAAACTCGCAAGGCTAGCTGCTGAAAAAGAAAAGGCAGAGAAGGAAAAACAAGACAAAAATAACGAAGAGTCTAAATAAGATTATATAACTTCTTGCACTTGCTTTCACTAAGTTCTACATCTTTTCCTTCAGTAGTTAAAGCATGAAATGCTCTTTTTCCATTAACTTTACCAAAGAAGCTTAAAGCTCTATACAAGAAGCCGTTATGCTGACAGAAATGTTTGTCATCTGGTAAGTAAAATAAACCATCGAAAGAATATGGACCATATTTTTCAATAGGAACAGCATTCTCAGGAACATTGTCATAATAAGTGAAAACTTTGTTACCATAGCCCTTTTTATTTCGAGCATTTTGACTAAAACTAACCCATCGTAAGTTAGATATTCTATTATCGTCTTTTATGTGATTTATATGGTCTACAACTTCAAGTTCTAAAGGATTTGGAAAGAACTGTTTCGCAATGAGAACATGCTTGTAGTATTATTTCTGTTTTCCATCACGTGTAAGACCTATTCGATAGTATGAATCTTCATAATCTCTATGTTCAGACAAAATCCTATTGGTCTTTCTATTCTTTATCTCATACGGGTAGCAGCAATGTATTAGATAATTGTCATTTACTACAACCTCTTCCCATTCGTCAGTTTCGACAATTTCTATTGGTTCATTTGCGTTCATTTGAATGGAATAAAAATAATGGAATAAAATAAAACTAAGCTTATTTTTTAATGAGGTGTGAGGCTGAAGTGAAGAAAGAGTAAATGGTTTATTTTTATCGGAACTAAATGTATAGACAAATACCTTTATCTGTTGCGTTCAGTAGTGAAAACACTGACGTCAAAAAAAGGGGAACAGAGTAACGTTTAAGTTTCCAACAGACTGGATTGTGAACATAAATGAAGAGAAGTACATTGGCATAACATCTATGTATATAACACGTGCTTTCAGAAAGGTTGACTTTATACTTCAAGTCGAGATAGTCTTATATACGAAAAAAAGAGATCTGACATTGTGTCAGATCTCAGTAAAAGTGACATTTACATGTCAAAAAAATAGAATGAGTTTAAGTAATTAAAATTGAGGGTGAGAGTAGTATTGTATGAAATAATATCTCTCACCCTCCAATTCATCCTATGGCGCCGAAAAAATTTTGGTGAAATGCGACCACATTTCACCAAAATTTCTCGGCGCCATATAGAGAACTAGAGCCTGTGAGGTACTGATACTATCCATGTACCTCGCAGGCTCTAGTTCCAAGCCAAAATGGCTAAAAATTGCCCGCAATTGTTCACATTGCGGGCAATTTTTAGCCATTTTGGCTGGGAATTGGAGGGTGAGAGTAGTATTGTATGAAATAATATCTCTCACCCTCCAATTCATCCTATGGCGCCGAAAAAATTTTGGTGAAATGCGACCACATTTCACCAAAATTTCTCGGCGTCATATAGAGAACTAGAGCCTGTGAGGTACTGATACTATCCATGTACCTCGCAGGCTCTAGTTCCAAGCCAAAATGGCTAAAAATTGCCCGCAATTGTTCACATTGCGGGCAATTTTTAGCCATTTTGGCTGGGAATTGGAGGGTGAGAGTAGTATTGTATGAAATAATATCTCTCACCCTCCAATTCATCCTATGGCGCCGAAAAAATTTTGGTGAAATGCGACCACATTTCACCAAAATTTCTCGGCGCCATATAGAGAACTAGAGCCTGTGAGGTACTGATACTATCCATGTACCTCGCAGGCTCTAGTTCCAAGCCAAAATGGCTAAAAATTGCCCGCAATTGTTCACATTGCGGGCAATTTTTAGCCATTTTGGCTGGGAATTGGAGGGTGAGAGTAGTATTGTATGAAATAATATCTCTCACCCTCCAATTCATCCTATGGCGCCGAAAAAATTTTGGTGAAATGCGACCACATTTCACCAAAATTTCTCGGCGCCATATAGAGAACTAGAGCCTGTGAGGTACTGATACTATCCATGTACCTCGCAGGCTCTAGTTCCAAGCCAAAATGGCTAAAAATTGCCCGCAATTGTTCACATTGCGGGCAATTTTTAGCCATTTTGGCTGGGAATTGGAGGGTGAGAGTAGTATTGTATGAAATAATATCTCTCACCCTCCAATTCATCCTATGGCGCCGAAAAAATTTTGGTGAAATGCGACCACATTTCACCAAAATTTCTCGGCGCCATATAGAGAACTAGAGCCTGTGAGGTACTGATACTATCCATGTACCTCGCAGGCTCTAGTTCCAAGCCAAAATGGCTAAAAATTGCCCGCAATTGTTCACATTCCCATCTTTTGTTGGTAAGACGAAGAATATGAAATAAATTATGAAGAAGATAATGATGAATAAAATATCACTTTTTATATTTTTGACACGTAAAGGTGTCACTTTTCTGTCAAACTGTTTTTATCGTTTTCGTATATAACAATAGAAAATGACGAACAGTCTTTAAGCGCCCAAAACATTCACATATACAAATACTTTAAAGACGATACAACATTGCAACAATGTATGATTTCATTTAATGAGATGTTCGAGAAAAAGTTCAACATTGAAGTACAAACTTTACAGCCTATACGTGAGTTTCTTGCACAACTGAAAGAAGAAGGTAGTCAGCCACAACTTATAGACTTTCATTATGAATTTAATGAAAATGAAGATGGAACTCATGACTGTCAGTTTGTTATATATTCACCATTCAATGAAGTCGCTAAAAAGAAAGAAGAGCCATTTCGTATAAGATTTCAAATCTCTGAACCCAATGAAGACTTCAAGAATGTTTTCAATTATGATGCAATGCTTCCGAGGAAAAATGAATTTTCAAAGATTGTAACACCTGGCATTTGGGATAGAAAGCAAGCAATATTATATTCAAACTTAAGTACGGGCGTTGAAAATGAGTTCATTGGTCATACGAGAACTACACCACTGCCAAATCCTAAGTATTACAAGCTTACTGGCTTCAATCGTGAGTTTTGGATAGATATGTACTCCACTCATGACCATAAAGCCCCTGTTTTGCTACCTCCAGACCATAAAGACTGTCTCTATATTGAAACACAACTCTTAAACTCTACCATCGCAGTATTGTAAAATCTACGCTAGTTTTATTTTTTCTGAAAATTTTATTTGAGTGAAAGGCATGGAAGGTGAAGGACATTGGCAAACACTCGAACATGACAATGACTATGAAATCTTTTCAGAGTACCCTTATCCAATTAGACGTATAAGCAATAAAAGAGTTGTTAGTGAGTTTGACCAAGGAGATGGTTATATTTGTGTAAATTTAAACAAACACAAGCTGATGAAACATAGAATAGTTGCAGAAACTTTCATTCCGAACCCTGAAGGACTTCGTGAAGTAGACCATATAAACAGAGACAGAGGAGACTTTCATATCTCGAACTTAAGATGGACGACAAGAAGAGAAAACATGAGAAATATTTCTGGTTCAAATGGCTATTGGTTTGACATTGTTGACTCTCTTCCTGAAGACGCTGTTGAAATTATACAATACTCATATCACACGTTAGAGAACTACTACTATGTCCCAAGTGAAGATGCCTTTTACTATTTCATGGGAACTCAATACAGACGAATGAATGTCTTAAGACAGTATAACAAAGATTATATAAACATTACAGATGTAGAAGGAAGAAGAACAAAGCTGTCTATTGCAAAGTTTAAGAGAGACAATGGTTATACATAAATGAGAAAAATATATGACCTCATTATTTTTATCACGAATGACCTCATTGCTGACAAAAATAAATGACCTCAGAACTTCAACTTACGAATAAAGCTTGTTTTAGTCGTTATTGAGAAGTTAAACTTCTCTTCAAAGCAAGGTTAACATGACTTACATAAGTCAAATCCAATCTCTTGACCGTCATAAAGTGCTTTGTAAAGTTTCATTAAACTGAACTCAGAGTCTTTGTCATATGTTCCAACAGGTATGTGAATGTTCTTATCTTCATTGTAATAGCATTGTATAGTTTCAGGAAACATTTCATTTGCTGTTAAAGCAAGGACGTCTTGTTTGACACCTTTGCAACGTGCATGGAATGCAACTTCATTTAAATTGTTAGTGAGTAAGTCTATGTAGGTCTTCTTTCCACAGAAAATACTTTTATAAGCTAAACTTTGTTTATCTTTTGTGATTTCTGCAAAGTCGCTATGAAATTGACCAAGGTTCTTTCCTATAAGTTCGCGACCATATCTCTTCTGAAATTCCTGAGCTAAACGCGGGATGTCTTCATTGAAAATATGCATGCTGTCACAGTCCTGGTAAAAGATTTGAAGTCCCATATCTTCTGCAGTACAGAATACTTCATTCATAATATGTTTTGACATAGATAGAATATTAACACCAAGTGGACAGAAGTTAAAGTGTCTGCAAATGCTTTTCGTTAGCTTGAAAATAGTTTTATCTGAACCATCCAAACCTTCGAACTTCACTATATGGTTGTAGTTTCTTATAGCATATCTTATAGCATCTTTGTCATCTACTATGGTTATTTTTGACTCAATTGGCGATATAATAGTTTTGCCATAAATACTGTTCAGAATGAGCTTTATATTTTCTTGCAAAGGATTTCCTTCTTTCTTATACTTTAACCTTAACTCAAACAACTTCTTTACTTCATCTCTTATTCTAATATCTCTGTTTCCATCGTAATAGTATCCTTGCAACACTTCACATTTGACACCTTGATATTTTATAAGGTCTTGTAATGTTATATGGTCAACATACATGAGACAGCAAGTGTTTGAACTTCTTGGAACGTTAAGTTCTGGATTTAGTTCAGGGTCGCAAACTATTAAAGGAAAGTGTCTATGTATTCCAATCTCTGTTATCTTAATGAGAACAAAGAAGCCAGACATAAACTTTTCACCAATGGGTTCCTTTTGGTCGTCATCGAATAAATGTCTCATGAAATACTCTGTGCTTAACATCTCATTCTTGTTTTGGTTTGTCGTCAATAGAACGAATGACATCATTAGCTTTGCGAACTTGTTCTATAGCGCTCTTAAACATCTCTCTTCTCTGTTGTTTCAGTGTGTCGTCTCTTCTTCTTGTTTCACCAACGTTTGCATTTGTTATGTCAAACATTTCTCTTCTTACTTCATGAGGTACAGCTCTTCTTGTTTCACCAACGTTTGAGTTCGTAAGTTCAAACATCTCTTGACGAACATCATGCGAAAGAGCTTTACGAGTATGACCAACGTTTGCATTTGTTATGTCAAACATTTCTCTTCTTACTTCATGTGGTACTGAACGTCTATGATATAAGTCAATAGCAACGTCATTTAAAGGAAATGCTCTTGCATTTATGAACTCATGAATTCTATCATAGCTTATAGCACCATTATAGTCATTGAGGATTTCAGCGAGTGCCTTTTTGTTTGTCGCGTAATGTTTTGCTACTTCTATGTTAGCTTCTGTAAGAAGTTGTTTTATTTCCGAGTGTTCTAACTTAGACAACTTCCGATACATCTTTAGTAGGAAATAAAAAAATATTTTTTTGAAAAAAATTAGATTAGATTTTTTTAAGTTATTTTTCAAAAATAATTTAAATATTTTTATTTTAATGAAACACATGCAAGATTGCAAGTTCTTTCATACAATGCTCTCGCTACTGCCATCAAGAATGAGTTCAATGGTGCTTCAAATGTTAATGTTATCTTTAACAAGAAGTTTGTGAAAGAATCTAAGTTCGGTCAGTATGTCAGACCATTAGCTATCGTCATTGACCGCAAACGTTATACTTCACAAGAGTTAGCAGTAGTTTTGAAACAAAAGAGTTTCTTCGTGAATGTCAAAGATACACACTATACTGTCATAAAGAACTCTAACGTTGACTTCTTCAGTATTGCTATGAATCTTTCCGAACAGAAAGAATATAAGAAAGGTGAAACAAATGTGAAATATTATCCTTCATCTCTGAAAACAATAACGAACAAAGATGTTATACAAAAGTTCTTACCAAAGGTTGAAGAAGCTTCTATTGACATTGACGAAGGAAGTGAAATGGTTGAAGAAATTGACCCTGACGTTATTTGAGCAAAAATATATTTTTGTATAAAATTCCAAATAGTCAGTCATTCAGTCAGTCGTCATTGACTGCCTGACTGTAAAAATAATTTCAAAGCATTTAACAAAATCTAAGCTAAACTTTTGTAAGAATTTTTTTTATCTAATATTAAATATGGTTGGTCAAACAAGAACAAAAGCACAAATGTTTCAAGACTTACTCAATAGGTTTGAAGCAATGAAACAAATAGATAATACACTTCAAACATTGAGTTTATCTTACACTTCAAATATATTCACAGTTATTGACAGAAGTATTGGTGACTTTTTCTCAGCTGAAATAACTTGCAATGGTCATTCTTTCTTTACTGCTTTCTATGATAATGGTAATAGTTATTCAGTGGTTGAAAAAGGAAGTTTAGATGAAACAATTCAGTATGTAATTGAAGAATTTCATCTTGTCAGAATTTCTAAATGAAGAATGAGCAAAAATATATTTTTGGTTAGTCTTCATATCGATATTTTACAACAATTCCCCAATGTATAAACTTTTCATACGCTTTTTCATAAGCTTTATATACCTTCAGAAATTTTGCATAATCTTTAGAAGCATTTAGATATTGTTTAAATGCTTTGTATGTCTTCAGAAATTTTGCATAATCTTTTACATGTTGTTCGTTCTCTTCTTCTGTCATGAGTTCCGAATATTCTAAATTCATGTTCTTTCATATGAGATAAAATTTTATAAAAAAAATAAAATTAGCTTAGATTTTTTTTATTCTTCCTCTTTGAAGTTGTCAAAATATTTTATTATCTTTTCTTTCAGTAGCGGTAAGTCTTCTTTGAATGTAAGTATTGTGCAACCTCTAATATCATAATGTGTTTGAGGAAGTGTGTCTTGAACTATCTGTTTAACATCTTCATTAGGTGTCATTGAAATCGGTAAGTTTTCACGATAGAACCAGTTTCTGTCAGATTTATATATCTTAGCTAAGTCATAAAAGCTCTTGTTGTTTCTTCTCACTAAATGCAACATAACCATATCTCTGTCTTCTTCTTTCTCCAACTCTTCAGTATATATCATATACTTATAACTCTTTTCCTTTCCTTTTGGTACTGAACGCGGTATTCTTTTCTGTATGTTTTTGTCTTTGGATTCAATGACTTCATCTTTTGCTTGAAGTTTCTTTTCCATCTCTTCACGTCCTGCTTTATATAGTTCATCTAACATCATGAAAATATAACAAGCATAACGAGGTGAAGCCCACATTGCTACAGCATTTACTAAAAGTCTATGAATATAATAATCTTTCAAACCAGGAGCCAAATTCTTGCGATTTTCGTACGGAATCTCTTCTCTCGGTTTTCCGAGGGAAGCAATCATATGAGGAAATTCTTCTAAAAGTTCTTTTGTCTGTTGGTTTTCAAATCAATGGTATGCTTGCTTTGTAGAACGAAGAGCATTCATTATACTTTGTATTTGATACATATCATCTTTGACTGAACGAATGAGACGTAACTGTTTGTTATACTGTATGTACTCGTATTCTTCATTTATGGCTTCATGAACGATAGCAGTTGTTGTGTTCTCTAATGTTGTCATTACTGTCTTTACATACAAAATAAAAAAATAAATAAAAAAAATTCTAACTTTATTTTTTCTGTCTTAAAGAAATGTTAGAAATTCATGATTTTCATGAAGTTTGGTCATTTTCAACATAACCTTCATTGCATGAAAAGTGTCATATATAACATATATATGATATTTTACTAAAAAATATGTAAGCGGCTCATAGCTCAGTGGTATGGACTCCCTTGTCATAGGTGTCGAGGACCTCGGTTCGAGTCCCGATGGTGTTCAGGTTTTTCCTTTTCTGCAAAAAATTGAGAGAGCATTGAATTTGCAAGTACAAAGGGTCTATTTGGTGTTAGACCCTAGCGAAGAAAATATGGTACTGGAACGATAGAAGTTTACATTTGTAAAGTTGGACGATAAAATTTACTAACTAACATCGGTTCGCATCCTGACTGACGTCGGTACAGACCATGACTGACGTCGGTATGGAATGCTCTCAAAATCTTCGAAATTGAAAGGTTTATGGAATGACTTCAGGATGGGTCCTGACTGACATCGGTTCGCATCCTGACTGACGTCGGTAGAGACCATGACTGACGTCAGTTCGCGTCCTGACTGACATCAGGAAATTCTATCGTTCTACTTTACAAAATGTAAACTTCTATCGTACATGATATTTAGTTGACATGGTAATCTATCTTCATGTAAAGTTTGGCGGTTAGAAACCGCTGGAAGCCTTCACTTTTTTGACGAACTTTCCGCAGCAATTTTTAAAATTTGTGAAAACTCAACGGTTTGACACGTGCCATATGTCATTTTACTCAGAATTTTGTGCTGAATTCAGCAAAAATAATTTTTAGGGTAGATGGGTATTTATACCCTCATTTCTACCACGAATTCTACCCTCATTATTTATAACCGTTTTACATGGTAAACGTTATGAATTCGTGAGATTCTAAACAGCTTCGTAGCTTCTATTGTCATAAGACGAAATGGTGGAAGTGAGGTGAAGTCAAAAAGTGACATCTATTTGGCCGGCTAAATTCCCCTTTAGTTTACATGTCAAAATTACAATAAATTAATTATTTTGCTTAGCAATTAGCTATGTATTAAAACTAAAATTATTACTATTCAATTCTTTACATTCAAATATTAAACAATTCAAATTTAATAACAAAGATATTACAATAAATAAAAAAAATGATTAAAAATGTCCCTGAAAATTTTCTGAAAGCTATCTCGTGTTTAGGTCTCAATTTTTTTTAGAAATAGAAAAAGATTGGATTTAACTTTCAAACATTATATATAGTTTTGTATATGGAAGCCTTTAAATACAAGTTAATGATATGGAGTTGTATTGCGAGGAAGAGGGAATCAAAGAAATTGACGAAGTTCCAGAATTTTATTCAACAATTCTTAATCAATTAACAAAAACTATACCGAAACTTATCTTACCATCCAAATCAAATCACATTACATACGGAATAAACATTTAATCTTTTACCATTAAAATTATATTTATACGTTATTTAATTTTTTTACGTCTAAGTTGAATAGGATAATAGCCGAAGATATAAAGTAACTATAGTTTACAAGCTAAGGAACAAATCAGCATTGAAACTAAAAAATGCTGAAATATTATAATAAATTGAAGAAATACTGTGATAGAATACCTAGTTATACTAGATACTATTATAATATGAATTCATTTGTATTGAATATCGATAATAAAAAATCGATGAAATATTAAAATGAGAATAAATTAATAATGAGATTATAAATTAGAATTATTTCTCTTTTATTTAAAATAAAAACTTAGTTCTATTTAAATTCGATAAAGAAGTACGAAAAAGTTGTATTATACGTATGATGTTGCCCGATGTTTGGTAACACTATTGTAGAATATAAGCATATATGATAGAAAAGCAATATGCTTAATATCGAGTAATTCTAATTTTTTACGAAATTATTCAAATACGTTATTTTTTAAAATGAAAAGATAAGCATACCATTATGCAGTAGTTTGCGCACATATACTATGCTGATGAAAGTTGGTCTCTAATTCGAAACTTGAGTCTGTCAAATTGACGTTCAAGTATTAAAAAGTTGTATTATACGTATGATGTTGCCCGATGTTTGGTAACACTATTGTAGAATATAAGCATATATGATAGAAAAGCAATATGCTTAATATCGAGTAATTCTAATTTTTTACGAAATTATTCAAATACGTTATTTTTTAGTTTCAATGCTGATTTGTTCCTTAGCTTGTAAACTATAGTTACTTTATATCTTCGGCTATTATCCTATTCAACTTAGACGTAAAAAAATTAAATAACGTATAAATATAATTTTAATGGTAAAAGATTAAATGTTTATTCCGTATGTAATGTGATTTGATTTGGATGGTAAGATAAGTTTCGGTATAGTTTTTGTTAATTGATTAAGAATTGTTGAATAAAATTCTGGAACTTCGTCAATTTCTTTGATTCCTTCTTGAAGCGTTGAAATTTCTTATTGACTCTCTTTTTATAACTTTTGAAAGAAACCGTAAAAATTGTGAAACATGCTTTTTAATAAAAAACAATTTTGATGAAAACCATAAATTAATTTAAAATTGAAATAAATTTTTGAAATCTATGATATTGAATAAAAAAATTTATAGTGTAGATATTGATATAGATATAGATGTTAATTTTAATATGATATTTGATAAAATTTTTTATCAAAACATACTGATAATAGGTTGACATGTAATATGATATTTTGCCTTGTAAATATATTTGGTCGGCAAAATAACCTAATTACTCTTATTTTGAGTTCACTTCCACCATTTCGTCTTATGATACTATTTCTTCGCTGAGGATATCAAAAGTTTTAACAATGCCGAAGGTTTCTTTATACTTCTTCTTGACGTCAGATAGAAGGAAATCGTCAGCAGTTGGATAGTTTTTGTTCAGAAATGCTAACATGTCCATTTTATTTTCTGCTGGTTTCTCTGCTTCTTTCTTTAAGTCAGCATAGTTGTTTCTCATTTGTTCTATCTCTTTGACGGAGTAGTTATATTTCCTCATTGCTGCTTTACATTTAGAACATTGCGGATTCATTTTTGCGTTATACATTGAAATTTGACCTGCTAGAACAACTAAGGCGTCAATGGTTTTCTTTAACTCAAAAGCTGCTGGTTTTATTTGTCCATTCCATACTTTACCTCTTCTATCTTTATCTCTTATCTGCCATACACATTTTGCAACTAATGAAACAAAGTTGTCGTATGTCTTAAACTCCTCCGATTTATATATGTCAGAGATGTTCTTATATACCATGTCGCAATCTTTGTCCATAACTTTATGGTTGCAATGATATCCTAGAAACTCATAGTTTACTTTACGTATGAACTTCTTTATTTCTACTGAGTCAGTTGATTTCACTTCTATTTCATCGAATTCAGGAATAGTGAGCTTTTGTTGCTGGATTTCAGGCAATTTGGGTAAATGGTCAATAATGTCCTGCATGTCATAAAGATATTCTTCATTTTCTTCATCCTGTGCGGTACAGTCTAAATTACTTGTTAAAAGTTCTTGTTTTATTCTTTGTATTTCTGTTCCAAAACTATATGAAGAAGGAATGAAGTTTTTCATCTCTACTAACATAGATGTTGGATTCATGACTAACGAGTTTGGTGCTGTTGTTGTTTGAATTGTTGTTGTGTCGATTGTTGAAATCATATCTTTTATACAAAATAAAAAAATAAATAAAAATAAAACTAACTTTATTTTTTCTATCTTAAGGAAATTCATGAAAATTCACGAGGGTAGAAATGAGGGTGTAAATACCCATCTATCCTAAAAATTATTTTTGGTCATGGGCTATGCCCCGCCGCTTTGCGTCTTTATGTTAAAATAAATGGTACCATTAATGATATCATGACTGTTCTCGTTCATGTCTGATTTACATCTAATGAAAAAGTTTAGAAGAATTTTCTTATTCTTTCTGGCATATTTTTGTCTTTCCAGTACTCCCGCTCTAATGGTCCCAGATGTGTTGGCTTCGACTCTCTCAAGTTCTTAGATGGTATAACATCTTCAACGCCTCCTTCATATCTTACTTTATAAGTGTCATCGTTTGTGTTATAGCCAAGTATTTCAATAACCACTCCTCGCTTTGCTTCGTCAATGGTTTCAGCAAGTTTGCCATTACTACTTTCAACTAATTTATGACGAGGATAAAACGCAATAGAGTCGTCGGCAGCTTTTATAAGATATCCATTACCTTGCATTGAATCTACTATATAATAGTTTCTACTTAACCTTAAACGTTTCTTTGTCAACGGTTTGTCGTCAAGAACTACACGAACTTTTGTTCCAGGAATGAGAGTAAATTGTGTTGAATTTCTGATATTTTGTGTTTGACTTCGTTTCTTTTGTATATACTTTTCTTCTTGTTGTTGTGTCATTGAATTTGGTGTATGTCCTGTTGTAGAATGCGTTGAGGAATTATATACTTCGAGAAAATGTTTCATTGTTTCTTCGGTAAAGTCTCGCTCTTGATTTAAATCTCTGAGAGTCCTTATGAAGCGGTTTATGATGCCGAGTATGTTATGGTTATGGTCTTCAGTAGTGTAGTGAGTTATGTTATGCTTAATGAGAAATTCTGTGATTTCATTGCTGAAGTATGCACCGTCTTGGTCTGATGTTAAAGTACTTTGGTTGTTATATACGAAAACGATAAAAACGGTTTGACAGAAAAGTGACAACTTTACGTGTCAAAAATATAAAAAGTGACATTTTATTCATCATTATCTTCTTCATAATTTATTTCATATTCTTCTTCATATCCACCTTCATATTCTTCACTTTGTCCCTCCTTCTCTTTTTTACCATCTTTATTATCGATTTCTTCTTCCTCATCTTGGAGTTCTGGTATTTCTCTAGCCTGTACTGATCCTGGGAGAAAGTCTTGGGTAACTCCATCAACGACCCATTTGGCAGGCATTCCTGGTCTCCAAATGGGCCCCTTCATCCATAATTCATTTGGACTATAATTGATTTTCCTTCCATTGAGAAGACGTGTCGGTAGTGCGGCATGGGGCTTGGAGTTATAGGAATTGACCCAACTCTGAATTTTACTCCATGTTAGATTGCGGTTTTCTATATTGGGCCACAATCGCTCAATCTTACTGTTTTGGTAAGGGCAATGTGGCACAATATAGACATTTCGAATTCCTTTGCATCTCATCGCTTGTAGGAATTCACCTCTATTCTCTCCTCCATTATCAGACCATATGATATGAGGGGGACCAAAACGTTTTATGGCCCGCTCAATTACCTTAACGGTCTGATTTGCATGTTTGGAGGAGAGATGCTGCCACTCCAAAACCATTCTGGTACAATCATCTATTACTCCATACAATAATTCACTTCTGCGTTTATTGAGAAAGTGAATGTCAACGTGCCAGATTTGATTTGGAAGTAAAGCCTCGTATCTTGTCCTCCCTTTAGGTCTCTTGGGTCCCCGTGGACGTGTTAATCCAAGAATGATAAAAGCCTTTTCGACCATATGCCTTGATGGAGCCTGAGGTAGAGGGAGAGGAAGATATTTGATATTTTGTAAATTTATAGCATATGGAGTAGGGTTATCATCTTGATTAATGTCAGCGGGGATTTCTTTAGAGATAAGATTGAGAGGCTTGTCACGTCGCACATTCTGAAACCAGTCCTGTGTTGAGCTCATAACTGGAAGCAGGCCATCTTTCATTCGAACAAAATCTTGTTCATGCTCATGGGCGAATGCTATATCTTTATTAAGCCTAAGGTAAGTGGAGATGATACCATGTCGCCCATGTTGTTCGAATAAATTGAGAATGGCCTGCATGAGATCATCAGGAACTGGTTGTTTGGGTCTACCACGGGAAAGTGGAATATCAACAAACTGGTCGTGCGGACGAGATTGAGGATTAGGAGGATTGGCACGTTGACTTGATTGATCGGAACTGATGGGATTAGGAGCAATTTGATTGTATGTACCAGATGATTGGTTTGAAGGAGTGGCTTGAGGATTTAACTGTTGTGCACTACTAAGAGGAGATGTACCATTGCTGGGTCTGAGCTGTTGTTGTGCACTACTAAGAGGAGATGTACCATTGCTGGGTCTGAGCTGTTGTTGTGCACTACTAAGAAGATGTACCATTGCTGGGTCTGAGCTGTTGTTGTGCACTACTAAGAGGAGATGTACCATTGCTGGGTCTGAGCTGTTGTTGTGCACTACTAAGAGGAGATGTACCATTGCTGGGTCTGAGCTGTTGTTGTGCGCTATTAAGAGGAGTAGAACCATTACTCTGTGTAATTTCTTGTTCTTCCAAGTATCGATTCAACAAGATCTCATCTTTTGTTGGTAAGACTTCAATGCAATTGTAGAATTTTCCATTATGGAATATGTATAAACTTGTAAATTCTCTGGACGAGTGCTTGTAAAACTCTTCGATAGTAATAAGACGAAAGCACAGAAGGCTTTTGTAGTAAGTTAACTTGTTAATGCAATTACGTGATGTACCATCGCTGAGTGGAACATTAGTCAATAGCAACGATAGCTTTTGATGTTGGTGTAACCTGATTAGAGATTGCTCTAGCCAGTGAAAGTCTATTTGGGTATAAATATCCAAGAGAATGAATTTTGAATAAATAATAAATTGTGAACAATTGAATAAAATATAGAAAATATAAATAATTTTGAAAGATATTATTGAAAAAATATTTTTCACAAAAGTTGAATTCAAATTGTAAATTTTTTAAAAAAATCTTTAAAGTGAAGAAAATAAAATTGGACAATGAGAAAACAACAATGAACTAAAAATTAGTGAATAACTACAATGGCGAAATTAAAATTACGATCAGAATAATTTTTATAAAAGAATGTGTTAGAAATTAGTAACGATTAAGATAAAATAAAAATTTGGGGAACGAGAAAAGTGATTGAATATTGGTAAACATGAATTTTTATTGAAAAATAAAATGAGATTAAGATTCTAAGCAGAAATTTTTAAAAATTAGAAAAATAAAAAACAATAAAGATAATAAAAAATTTGAAACTAAAAAAATCGAAAAATAATGATAAAATAAATGAATAGTTGAAGACAAATAAAAATAAAATGTTATCAATAAGAAAATAATTTGAATAGGTTTCAATATAGATTGATCAATTTATGAATGGGAATCCAAAATTAGAACAGCCGAATTGGTATATTGATAACAAATGATATTATGTTATTAATAAGGTATAAATGTTTTGAATGTAATTCAAATTAATTTTGAATATGAAATTGAATAAGATTGAAAAATTAAATATATAGAATTTTGAATGAGTTTCCGTTGAAATCTCGTAAACGAAAAAGAGGATTTGACGCAGTCAAATCCCCTCTCTCAAAAAGTGGACTTTACATGGCAAATTTCAAATGCATGTAAGGTCCACTTTGATCAGTTTTAGGAAGGAATTGGAGGCCATGAGTTACTGACATTTCATCAGTATCTCATAGCCTCCAATTCCTTCTAGAAAGTGTCCAAACTTTGGGTTAATTGCAAACTATTAACCCAAAGTTTGGACACTTTCAAGTGGAGATGGAAGGCTTTGGGGTATATATTAATACAATATACATCAAAGCCTTCCATCTCCACTACAAATGGGAGAAACTTTGTCCGAATAGTTTAACATTTGGACAAAGTTTCTCCCATCTTTCAATGTAATTGCTACCTGTGAGGTACTGACTTGAAGTCAGTGCTTCACAGGTAGCAATATCCAAAAATTTAAAAACATTTTATCAGTTCGTTAGAGAACTAGAGCCTCCTAGGTACTGAACCAGAATCAGTGCCTAGGGAACTCTAGTGATCTATATAAATCTGAGAAACTTTGAGGAAATTGTTCGACATTTCCTCAAAGTTTCTCAGCAATTTAGCGAGGAATGTTCGTTATCGTGTAGATATTTATAATATATACATGATAACAAACATTCCCCGCTAAAAGATGTAAAATCTTATAAGAAATAATTGCAAAAGAATAACAAATTGCAACAAATTTTATATGAAACTGAACCTTATGAGGTAGTGATTCAAGATCACCGCCTCATAAGATTCAGTTTCAATCTCAAGTATCTCAAAAGTAAGGCTCTATTTTTTGCCATGTAAAGTGTCACTTTTTCTGTCAAACCGTTTTTATCATTTTCGTTTACAACAGAAATGAATGTTATGGAAATGTAGAAAATATTAGCCTTTGGATGAATTGGAGGGTGAGAGATATTATTTCATACAATACTACTCTCACCCTCCAATTCCCAGCCAAAATGGCTAAAAATTGCCCGCAATGTGAACAATTGCGGGCAATTTTTAGCCATTTTGGCTTGGAACTAGAACCTGCGAGATACATGGATAGTATCAGTACCTCACAGGCTCTAGTTCTCTATATGGCGCCGAGAAATTTTGGTGAAATGTGGTCGCATTTCACCAAAATTTTTTCGGCGCCATAGGATGAATTGGAGGGTGAGAGATATTATTTCATACAATACTACTCTCACCCTCAATTTTAATTACTTAAACTCATTCTATTTTTTTGACATGTAAATGTCACTTTTACTGAGATCTGACACAATGTCAGATCTCTTTTTTTCGTATATAAGAGGGTTATGTTCTGCTACAAACTTTTGTAAAACTCTTAACACTTCACGAGTTCCTTTATTCTTCATTGGATATGCGTATGCTTTACGAGTGTTAACATTTATGAAGATGAGGAATGGTTTATGTCCTCCTTTTCTGCTATGAATGAGAGTGTCAAATTGGTATGCGTCGGGAGTGTTGGAGTAAATTGGTAAAAAGTAGTCGTAAGGGTTTATTTTTGTTTGATGTACAACATTTTTGTCAAAGAATCTTTTCACTTCAGCTCTGTTAGTAAATCCCCAACTCTTTGCAGCTTCATTGAACTTCTTAAATGACCTCCAGAGATGTTGTTCGAATACTTCTTTCAAACTCATTTAAGTAAAGTTAAAGATTTTAAGCTTTACGATACCATGCGAATACAGTCATATAAGGTGGCATATAATCTGCACCACTTCCTGTTGGATTTGTTGTGAAAGTATGCTGGTGGTTGCCACCGTCAAGTGTGACTTCTCTTTGCCATCCATATACAGTTCGAATGCCTGTACCTTTTTTTAAATTCAACAACTCCTTCAGCTGCTTGATACGTATCAAATGTATGGTTATGAGTACCTGCTATGTTTGTTGTTCCTGTATGTCTGTGTGCTGGAAGATTTGCTTCAGTAATTTGCTTTGAGCCCCCTGTTTGCTTTGAAGAGTTAGCACAGTATAAGAATTTGTCAATAATCTGTTCCCAAGTACCAAAACCTAAAACACTTGCTGGATTTGTTGAGTTCATTGACGTATAAATAGAGCCTATAGGATATAATGTTTGAAGTATTTCAGTCTTTAATGTTTGAAGCTCTGTTTTGTCAGCTTTGTCCTCCATTATATCTTCATAGTTTTTAACTTCAACGATTTGATTGAAAAACTCCGGATTTAAACCCATATCCATTTCAGCAGTTGCTGACCATATTTCTTCATTCCATTCAAAACTTTCACGAATATCTTCTCTATGAACTCCATAATGTACTCCTGTCTTAGTTCTGTTGAAACGTGTATATGTTATACCGTCAATGACTTTAGTTTCATTTGTTCTTTCAAGATATTCAGAATAATCTGAACCAACTCGCACTCCCTTACCTCCTTTTACTGTATAATGCCAATGTTGTTTGTCAGCCTTTTTGTCAATACTTTTCTGAATTATTGCTATATCTTCTGCTCTAGTATATGAACTAAGTTCATCTCTGCTTGCTTTCTTTTCATGTTCTTCATCTACATAAGTTTTGTATACTTTCTTATCTAACATTGCTGGTAGTTCATGTGTTTCAAAGTTTCTGACATGTCCTTCAATATTAGTGCATTTGTTATCTAAATTGTTAAGAGTATCTTTTACGCTTGTACTTGGATTTTCTAATGGTGCGCTTGAACCAAGGGTATAGTTCAATATTATATCATCTGCTCTGACAGTAGTGAAGGAGTCATGAGTATGGTTCTTGTCTGCTTTACTATTTAATGTAGCTTGAAGTTCATTTATATCGGAGATATTATGTTTATGAGATTCCAAAACTTTGTTCGTTGCGTCAAGTTCATCTTTGTCAGCTTTATTTTTTAGAGCATCTTCAACAGTTATTTTTGCCTTAACTCTTAACATAAATCTTGGTTCAACTAATACATCTTTAACAAAGAAATACGAAGCATATATTTCATCGTTATAGTCAAATGCTTCTGGAGCCTTACCTGTGTCATAACTTACAACACATCTTATATCATAACCTTCAGCACGAATGAATTTATATCTTCTTTCATTAACATCTTCAGTGCTTATTTGTTCATCTTGTGTTAAATATCCATGGTAGTCCATTATAATTTGTTCGTCTGAACTTATATAATGAACATGGTCCTTGTCTGCTTTTTCGGCTAATTTCTCTTCTAGCTCATTTATTTCAAGTTCATGCCTACCACCACCTCCCGAAGAAGTATTTTTCTTCAGCTCTTGAAGAACGTCCACTTCGCCATCTTCGGTGTCAATAATGAGACTTTGAGTTAAAACTTTTCCTGTCTTAATGGATGTTTGTAAAACTTTTTCTTCACCGTGTTCGGGGTCATGGTCGTCGTCATATCTTGTGAAATCAGAAATATTGTCATACATTAAGCATATCTGTCTCAAAAGTTCTGCAATTTGGAACTGGAACGAAAGATATACAGAACTTTCATCATCGCCGAGAGTCAAGTATGCTTTCTTAAGTATTTCTTGAATGTATGCAATGAGGACAGAGTATCTTGGCAAATATTCGAACAATATTTCATTAGCTGTTGGTTTTGGTGGTTCTTCTGGAGTTTCTGTTGTTTCAGTTCCATTTGTAGGTTCTGTTGGAGTTTCTGCGTCTCTTGACTTCAATGCTCTTGCTCTCAAAGACCTAAATGTTAGAGCACCAGGCTTTACAAAGGACTTTATGAATGTTTTAATAGTTCCTGGTAAGTTATTGTTAGCATTAAGTAAGTTCTTTATACTTCCATCATGTACGTCCATAGAACTATAGGGTGTCCAAAGGTGTGTTTAGCACAAACCTGAATACTGCGAATAGAAATAAACAAGTTACATATATATAAAGTTTATTTAAATATAATCACCATTGGATTCAATCACGCGTTCGCAGCGATCGATCCAGGCTTGAAAAACACGCTTTAAATCATCATGAGAAAATTGCTCAAATTGCTCTCTTACAAAATTTTCAAGATCATCTGGACTCGCGAATTCGCGTCCTTCAGCTCTCTTTTTTAGCGTGCCGAATAAATAAAAGTCAGAGGGTGCAATATCAGGTGAATAAATTGGGTTTGGAACAACTTTGACATTGTTTTCCACCAAGTAATTCATTACCTTATGACTTTTGTGAACTCTTGAATTATCAAAATGAATTGCAAACTTTTGTTTTTGTTGTTTGGATTTCTCAAACTCATCAGAATTGATAATTTGAGTAAGAACATTGTCAATTAGATACTGAGCATTCATCGTATTAGGTTTTTGAAGAATATCAATTGCGATGATGCCATTCACGCCCCAAAAAACCGACAACATAATCATTGGTGTGTCAATTTTTTTCTTCGGGAATGTTTGCGGATTTTCATCCTTCGGGATCCACATGATTTTGGCTTCTGTTGCATATTGAAACCAAGACTCGTCCCCTGTTACTAAAAAGCGAAACTTCTTGGATTGATACGCACCCAATATAGAGAGGAGCTCTTTCGAAGATTGGACTCTAGATTTTTTTTGAACTGAATTAAGGTTGTGCGGAACCCAACGTGTATACGCTAGTTTGTAGTTCAAATAATTGTGCAGATAATAACTGACTGTTGTACGTGGTATCTTTGTCATCTCCTCTATCCTTCTGAGTGATGCTCTTGGGTCTTCATCTAGCGCTTGAAGAATTGCTTTGATTTTTCTTTGATCCGGCGATTTTTTGTCAATTTTTATGATGGGCGCCTTTTTGTTCATGAAGTGATACATCCTAACATGATACGTTACAGTGGAATAGCTAGGAGCATCCATACCGAAGCATTTTACCAATGTCTCGTAGATTTTTTTACAGTCTTTGCATTTTTTTGCAAGAGCGAGGATGTTTTCTTTATGATTCATTAAAAAAATGAAAAAAATCCCGCCAAAATTTCCCGCGAAACCGCCTCTTGTCTCAAAATTCATTTTATATCCCGGCATGGCGCCAAAATACAACTTACTCATCATATACATATATTCATATTTTTTATTATATATTTATAATCAGCATATATCTCCTTTAATAGTCTCATATAGAGCGCTGTGCTAAACGCACCTTTGGACACCCTATATGTAAAAGATCTATACTTTTCTTGTAGTCAGCAATAGACTGACTGTGATTTTTTAAAGATTTGTCAATACCTTTAAGCCAATCTTCATGCATGTCTGATACTGAGCCAAGAATATCATTTGCTTCCTTTAGTGTACTTTGTGCTTCTCGTAAAGTATCCAATCCCGTACGTGCATTGTTTGCTATACGTCTTACAGTATCTATTTGACTCCTTGTTTCTTGCATCCAACCAGATAAAGTTTTAATAGTATCCGAACCATTTGAAATGAAGTTCAAAGCATCTTTAACGTCATCTAAAGCTTCTTCACCAAGTACAGCCCATATCTTTCCGATTTGATATTGAAGAACTCCATATGAACCAGCTGTTAAACCAGTATTTATAAGGTCCCATATCCATGATTTAGCAGTTTTTCCATTCTTTCCATCTTCTCCATCCAAACCGTTTTCGCCTTGAGGACCTTGTATTCCTTGTGGTCCTTGAGGTCCAGTGTCACCCTTCTCTCCTTTCAGTTCATCTTTATGTTCGTTATAATATTCTAATGTCATAAGGTGTACATCATTACTGCTACCAGCAACGCCGAGAATTTGTTTCTCATTCATGACTAAATTCTTTAAGCATTTAATGTTGTCGTCAAATCGGAAGCTCTTTAGTAATTCAATGAGAACATTCAGTACTTTCACTAATGAGGCATCTACTGTTGAATTTATATATTGCACCGTTCCATCATTTATGATGGGAACCTTGCTTGTTGTAATGAATGGGTCATAAGTGTTAAAAGTATCGAAATCAATGACTTTTTTAGTTTTTCCATCGTCAATGACTAAATCATTGCCTTCAATGGTTAATGTTGAGTTTTCATTTACTAATTCGTCTGCTCTTCTTGCTTCATTTGTTTCATACGCATATGCAGCAATAGTCATATTTTAATGAGAATAAAATGTTGTTCTATTTGCAAAGTACAGACCCAAACGAATACGGGACAGTAAAGCTACAAACAAACTTAGGTCTTCAGAATGAAGCGCTTGCTTTCAGAGTTGTTGACTTCAATACTATCGCAACTTTTGTCATAACAGATGAAACAGATTTCATAGAGATTGAAATAGATGACAAAAGAAGTTTTATAACATTTCCTAACAGAGCCGAGTATAGAATAGATAAAATTGCTGGAGTCATAGATACTCTCATAAATGAAGAAACTATTGACAACATAGATGTCGAACTCTCTTCTGAGGGAACATTGAAGTTCAGCAGCGAGAAAGAGTTTAAGATACCAAGAATGAGTCATAGAGTTCAATTGCTTCTGGGAGCATATCATATGACATTTCCTTTAAAAAGCGTTGGTGGAGTTATTGAGATGAAATCTGTTCCATACGTATGTTATGGCAATTGTTTGTACATTGAGTCTAAAATAGCTAATGTCACAGGCATTTCAGGAGTTAATAGTAAAGGTTCAGTAGAGTATAAATCCTTCTGTTATGAAGTAAATTCAATGTTCATTCCAAACGTTCCTGTCATAGCAACTCATTTAGGTAAATGGGTTCGCATTAGTCCTCATAATTTGAAAGACATGCAATTCAGACTCGTTGACTTTCAAGGAGAGCCTGTAGTACTGAAGGCACCAGTGCGAATGACTGTTGAAGTAGACTTTTTAGATAATATTAAATGCAACAGCTTACAAGAGAACTCAGAGCTAAAAATATAAAGTATGAATGTTATGTATTAGGATATGAACTTTGGTTGTTGCTGTTTGATGAAACAAATGAGTTTGTTATGTCAGTCAAGAGAACAGAAAAATATTGTGTTAGTGAAAACTGCACCAAGTCAATAAGATTAGGTCTACATTATGAAGATGAGTTCGATACTGTTGAAGAAGTTTTGGACAGATACTATAAGTTGTTAACTTGAAATTTTTTTTGACTGACTGACTGCTTTAATTTACTAAAACATATTTCAAACAAAGCTTATAGTCAGTAGATAGTTTTGTATACTCGTTCGAATATCTATACTTAAACTCAACTCCAGGAGTACCTGGGGTTTCAATGATGCGGATGTTACCTATTTTCATGAATATTGGAGTTTGACTACAGCATTCGATTTCAGGGTCGAGATAGTCAATGACACATTGTTTTCCTGTTATTCGTGATATAACATTTTCAAGGTCCTCCTTTGTTAGAATTATTTGGTTCTTACTTATAAGATTTGTCAAAAGCTTCTTATCGTCTTTGAGTAAGATAGTTTGATATAACTGAAGAAGGTAATGGTCTACGTTATCTGAAGGATTTGTTTGAACATTTGTGTAAGGGTTGTCGTTGGCTTCTCTTGAAAGAACTTGGTCTAATGGTGGATACTCTAACTTAACATCTGATGTAGCGTTAGCGTTTGAAGCTGTGTTTAAATTCACTGATTTCAGTTCTTCTTTATCTTTCAAACATTCTGAACTATAGTTCTTTATGACAATATTGTTTGTCGTTCGTGAGTCAACATTTGATGTTGGTTCAATTGGAACATTAACGGCACCAGCTAAGATGGATTTGCTTCTCATTTCATATAGAATAAAAACCTTTTATATATATGAAATGAACAATATACTCGACAAGGGTTTGAATGTAAAGCTAACGAATGAAAATATTGTTGAATTCACTGAGACAGGTGCTGTGTATAAAGATGTAGAACTACTGAACAAAAGAGCTAAGGGAAGAAGCAGGAACATGAACAAAGGGTGGAAGCCTATAAAAATTTATGTCAATGATGGCTCAGGAGGTTCAAACATAAAGTATGCAGAAAGTTATAGAGTTTATGCACTCAAAGGTGAAAAGCCTTTATTTAAGAACAGCTATTCTAACACATATCCTCAAAAGTTAACGGATGGAGAAGTGGATGACATGAATGACAGCAAAAATATTAACAGAAATGGCGACAGAGATGCATGGAATTTGTTTACCATCAGTCAATTGAAGCATAAGATTTAAAACAATGTTGGTCGTTCCCATGGAATATTTTTGACTTTAATGGTATTCGTCATGATATGAATCTCAAGGTATGAACGAGGAGAGATGAGAGACTTATATGCTTCCCAAATTTCTTCAAAAGGTAATGTTATACCTGACTGTTTCCATATGAGTTCAATATCATAGCGTGAGAAACCTTGAAAGATAACGAAGTCAGTAATGAGACGCTTTATGTTTAAAGCAAGAAAGCGCCATGTTTGCATAAGAATTGCTATAGTTAAGTGGTAATGTCTGACTTTAGTTATGATGTTAGCTAATGGCGAATCAGGCTTTGAAACTAAACCTTTTCTAGCGAAGTCGTCGCAAACGAGCAGAGTGTTTGAAGGATATTTTTTGAAGGGGTATTTTGAAAGTTTTGACAGAATGTAGTTTGTCAGTCGTTTCATATCGTAAACTCCTGAGTACTGACGTAAGTGGTGTTTGTCAATAATTCTTTCCATCTCTTCTGAAGTCTTTTGCATTCCTGACTGTATAAATTCAACGATGGCATAATATTTTCTCTTACGTCGAATGTAACGTTGAAGAAATTCAATGAGTTCACTGTCTGGAACTTTAACGACAGAGGCTTGAACTTTTGACATAAATGTTTTCGCTGTTGAATCCATACAGTCTGAAGTTGCTGATATAATGATTTGGTCATAGTAAGAGTCGTTTCCTAATCGCTCTGTTATGAGTATGTGACGAATGAGGTTAAATATCTTACCTGAGCCCATCTTTCCACAATAGAAATAAACACCATTTGAACAGAACTCATAGTCCTTGCTGAAAGGAAGAATGAGAGAAGAGTTAAGTTTGTCTGTGGTTTCATTCATGTCTTCATCTACGTCATGTATTAAATGCTTCATTTTATCTCCATTAAAAATGCAAGTCAGAAATATTCAGAACATAGCACCGAGTCTAACTGACAAGAGTATAAAGATATACTATGAACACGTTATGATGAAACCTACCAAAATTCAAGAAAGTCAGTATACTTATGAATATCCAAGACACTGGGTAGAGTATGTAGGAGGTGAGAAAGCTATTGAAATCAGACAGGTTCGAAGCATTCCAGCAGGAAGGACAATATTATTGAAGAACTTTAATGTTTTGAGATATAATGATGAAACAAAGAAGCAAGATAGTTTTCCTGTTGCTGTGTATGTGAACCTAGACACAGGAGATGACATGAAAGTTTTTAATACAAAGCTTCAAACGGTAGTGAGAGAACAACTGACTGCGGAAGGGCATCCATTACCTTCTGAAGTTACCATAGCATATAATTTTGAAACAAACTCAATAGATTTTAGAGTCGTCTCTGCAAAAAAGTCAGGATTTACATTTAATGAAGCAGATGTATATTCGAATGAAAATTTCAAAGCTATTGCATGGTTAGATAATGACGATTGCTTTAAGAAAATATTTAAATACAGTGACTCAACGATGTCAATAGATGACCTTCGTGGAATGTTATCATCAACGTTTACAGTTGATGGTTCAGCAGGATTGCTTACAAGATTGTCAATTGGTGGCGTTTGGTCTCGTGAGAACATTGTTATAAAATCCAGTATAAGTGAATTTGCTGAAGAATCTATATTATGTCTTTCAAACTACATGTATTCTCCGCCGAAGCATTATAGTATAACAAACTTTGTCAGTAAGTTTAACATAAGACTTGTCGAACCTTCTTCAATGAAAGATGTTGTGCTACCTAAAGATGGAAAGGATGGACTCATTATTGAGATGATTTTAATAGCATATTAAATGAGCTTGTTCTTGAAGGTCATTCATGATGAAATAACTGTTGTAGAAGATGTTAGCAATTGTTCAGACATTTTGAAGCGAATAGATGAGATAAGAAAGAAGTTTATGAATGAGAACGTTTATGTTTCATTGACTTTCTCCAGTAACGAGAACTTTTATGAGATAATGTTGAAGAGAGATGATTTTAATATGGTGTAAATGGTAGCTTGGGCAGCTTTAGGCGCAATGGGAACAAAAGCATTAGCATTTGGAGTAAAAGCACTTGGAGCTTATGGCGCAGTAAATAAAATGAGTGGAGGAAGAGTTTCGAAGACATTAGATGCAAATAAAGGAAAGATTGGAGGCTGGGTTGCAAAGAAGTTAAGATTAAATAAAATAGGGCTCATAAATAAAGCATCCAATTTGGTTGCGACTGAGTCAGAAAATGCTTTAGGAAAGGACGATGAGTTTGCAAAACACGCAAAAGACTTTAATGACCAGATGAAAGGTGAAACAATGCATTTAAATAGATTCGATGGAACTAAAGAAAATGTTTCTTCTCCACAACTTCCACCAGTAGTTCTTCCGTATGGTCCCTATGGAATGTATGGAAACCCTTACGAAAGACCATTTGACCCATTGACTGGTGGAAGTAATTGGTATCATTACGGACGAAGAAGAAAGACAGTCAAGTTGGAGACGGACGTAAAGAAACTAACTAAAAAGAAACCAAGGAAGAGAGTTATAAAGCAATGAATTCAAGAGGGTAGAAATGAGGTTAGAAATCGGGTTAGATATACCCTTCTACCCTAAATTTATTTTTGCGCTATGTTTTCATACGCATTAAGGTAGTGATATCATTAATTTTTAAGTTTATTTTTTAAAATTATTTTTTATTTTATTTTTATATAAATGACAGAACAAAAATAAAGCATATCTACTCAACAGGAATGAGACCCTTACTGACTATGTATTCGTTTAATGCTTGATGAAAACAATGGTACATATTTTCGTATGGGTATACACAACGTCTGTTTCCATCGTCGTCGTATATGTAGAGCTCAAATCCAGTCCAACCTTCTTTTGTACAATATGTAGCTTTATTTAAGTATGCATTTATGTAGATAAGGCAATTTTCTTCATCGCTCCAGAAATAATTTTTGTTCTTTGTTGAAATAGTTTTCGTTCCTCTGCGACCATAAGGAATGTATGCAATGAACTTTGCGTCATAAGGGATTGTAATATATTCAGTGTTTCTTTCATCGTCAATGGGTCTGTCTTTGTTAAAATGCATGTTTCTCAGTTTTACTTGAGTTTTGAATAGTTCACGGAAACGTTCTGGGAAAGAGTCATAGTAAATGTAGTCGGACATGTCTTTGTAATGAAATAAAAAATTAAAAAAAATAAAAATAAGGTTATTTTTATTTAGTAAGGATGGTAGTGAATTCGTTAGTGAAGTCGTTAGTGAAGTCATTAGTGAAGTCGTTTATGTGTCAGATGGATTTGTAAATAGTTAAGGTTAAGTTGGTGTTATGGTTGTGTTGTAAAATATACGTTACCGGTTTCGTAAAGTGTCAAAACCGCTAAGTGGTGTACGGAGGCGCGCAGTGCCACAGTACACGACTTAGGGATACTAACTAGGATGAAAATTGCAGGCTCTGGCCACTGCTTAGGCCAGAGCTTCGTATGGGCACTCTCTCGGGACTGGATTCCTCTCCGGCCGCCCCGAATCAGGGCGGTCTTTGAGGAAACCGGCCCCGAGGATGGTTTGCGAAGCTCTGACCTTAGCAATGGCCAGAGCTTGTAATTTTCATTCAGAATCAAGTTCCTCTCGGATCGAGCCTAATGAGGACGACCGTCGAGGAACTTGGCTCTGAGGTGATGAATTGTGAACTCTGGCTTTGATGAAAGCCAGAGTTTTTAAGTGAATGTTTTGATGGGATGAGCCTATGCTCAGTAAGCTCGTCCCATCAAAACATTCGTTTAAAAATTGAATTAAAAATTATCGTATGTATTCAAAAATTAGAAAATAAAAATGAATAATTTTATTATATAAAGAGAATTGAATAAATTCAACGGAAAATTGAATAAAAATTTCCAAAAAAAATGGAAAAAATTGAAAAATAATTGAAAAAATAAGAAATTTGATAAGAAAATTAACAAATAGACAAATTTAAGAAACATAGATAATGGTTATTTATGATTGTAATGGGAAATTGAGGAGATTTGACCAGTTTAATACAGAATGTGATATTTATAATTTAAAGAAATGAAGATATTCAAGAAAGGAGTATACAAATGCAGGGTAAAGGAGCAATACCCTGCATTTGTAATCTCCTTTCTTGAATTAAATTCTCGATGTGACATTCTTTGGAAAAAGTGCTAGATATTCGAGAAAGGAGTTTACAAATGCAGGGTAAAGGAACAATACCCTGCATTTGTAATCTCCTTTCTTGAATTAAATTCTCGATGTGACATTCTTTGGAAAAAGTGCTAGATATTCGAGAAAGGAGTTTACAAATGCAGGGTAAAGGAGCAATACTCTGCATTTGTAAACTCCTTTCTTGAATTAAAATTCAATGAATCACATTCAAGTGAAAAAGTGCTAGATAATCAAGAAAGGAGTTTACAAATGCAGGGTAAAGGAGCAATACCCTGCATTTGTAATCTCCTTTCTTGAATTAAATTCTCGATGTGACATTCTTTGGAAAAAGTGCTAGATATTCGAGAAAGGAGTTTACAAATGCAGGGTAAAGGAACAATACCCTGCATTTGTAATCTCCTTTCTTGAATTAAATTCTCGATGTGACAT